TGTATCTCTACATACACACAAAACAAGTCTCTAATGGCTTTACTACTGGCTAGCTGCAGCTGGGAAATCTTCACATGCTCAAAGCATATCATCCTATATGGCATACTATGTCAGATGCTTGGCCAGATTGCCTCTAGATTTTTTTTTTTTTAATGTGCAAACTTTAAATGCACAGTGTGCTATGGTTCACCTTCAGAAAAAAAAAAAATGCTATGTATCTACACACATAAACTGTAAGTTGCTCAGACTTCCTTATAAACAAACAATAGCTTTTAATGTTTTTGTATTGATAGACTAAGAAAACCTCTAAGCAATTTTATGGAACAAAACAAAAAATCCATTGGAGCTAAATACACATTGATGCATGCTATTCTCTTCATGCCAATTGTTTACCCTATGACCCCATGTGACTCCTCACCATTTGCAAATATACCTTCACTCTTTTGATCCTATTTAATATTGAAATGAAAAGTTGTGGAGTTTTTTGTTTTGTTTTGTTTTGTTTTTTTTTTGACACACGATCTCGCTTTGTTACCCAGGCTGGAGTGCAATGGCGAGATCATAGCTTACTGTAGCCTCAAACTCCTGGGCTCAAGTGATCTTCCTACCTCAGCCTTCCAAGTAGCTGGGACTACAGGCACATGCCACCAGGCACAGCTAACTAAAAAAAAAAAAATTTGCAGAGGCGAGATCTATGTTGCCTGTGCTGGCAAAAAAGCCTTGTTTAGAGAATATTTTGTATAGAAATGAAAATACATCATCACCAGGGGTCAGTGCCAGCCATGTGACTAACAGATTTTAAATTAGCGTTCAAGAGAACCTGTCAGCTCCAGTACCTTCTTGAACAGGCCCCATACTTTCTCATAATTCTGATCTATTTCCCATTCCTCTCCATGCCCAACATGTAAGCTTGGCAAGGACCAAGACACTCTCATAACCTCTCTGGAAAACAATGAAATGGTCAAATGAAGCTACACATGCTGGCTTGTCCTTCTTTGCCCTAATTTAAAACATTAACCTTAATATATATACACATATATATATTTGTATAATCTTGATTATTATATTTAGTTAACATTTACAAAGAAGGAGCAGAGCACTATCCATAACTCTATAAACTGGGTTCGTGTTCAATAAAACATGAACTCAAAAGACTTCTCACTAAACATCTATGTATTCACGGAGAGCTAAAACAAAGCATTCAACACAAAAGGTAAGAAGGAGTAAAACTTCACAATATCAAATTTCAATGCCTATCTATAAAGTATGTCCTTCAATCTAGTATTTATGAAAAACTATTTTTATCTAAAAAGTGGTTAAGGCAGGAGGATCACTTGAGGCCAGGAGTTTAAGACCAGCCTAGGCAACATAGTGAGACCCCGTCACTCCCAAAAAAAAAAAAAATTGGCCGGGCCTGGTGGCACATGCCTGTAGTCCTGGCTACTCAGGAGGCTGAGGCAGGAGGATCCCTTGAGCCCAGGAGTTCGAGGCTGTAGTGAGCTGTGGTTGTGCCACTGCACTCCAGCCTGAGTGACAGAACAAGACCTCATCTCTAAAAGAAAATAAAAAATAAAGATAAAAATTCTAAAAGTGATCATCTGAAATGATAAAGGCGTATGAGGTCAGTTTTCTGAGAGCCAAAGAAATAAAGAAAGCTACTAAAAATGTTCCGAAAATACATACGCTAAAATGGGGTCAGTAAACGGGCCAGATAATAAGTATTTCAGGTTTTACAAGTCACACTGTCTCCACTCCAACTATTCAACTCTGCCATTGTTGCAAAACAGCAGTTATAGACAATAGGTAAATGAATGTGTGTGTGTGTTCCAATAAAACTTTACTTACAAACCAGGTGGCTGACTCTGCTAATTGTCAACCCATACACAAAAACATAGATTCATTGGTATGACAATGTTTATGTCACACCTTTGATACAAGGCTGACATGAGAAATGTTACTCTAAATGGCTGTTCTTCCACAGTAATTTCTTTTCACTTAGGAATATAAAATATTATTTGCATTTTTTAAAAAAAGACCTATGTTCACTTTTTAAAATTACGTTTTGAAAGGAAAATTGACCTCTATATAATCTCTAAGGCCTGAGAAAGGAAACCTATGGGAAAGAGAAGAGTGGGAAGAGGAGGCTGGAAGGAGGCATCCAACAGAACCAAGGTGAACAAACATTAACCCATGATTTGTATTCTCAGAGCAATCTGCAAAAGCTAGTAACATGCATACTGTATATAAAACACATTTGTGCCCTCAAGAAACTCATGACATAGTTGAAGAGCAAACTTATCTTTTGCCTCTGCATTCCAAAATTTTCAACATTAAGGACATACAGGATTGCAAATACATTTTTTGAAGAAGCTTAAAATGTAGGCTTCAAAATAAAGACACTTTTAATGAAGACTTATACTTTTATAAACAGAAAAAGACCGCATAAAATCATATTACATCTAGAATTTGTTTTATATTTCTATTCTTTTGTCCTATGTCAATTCGGTATTACTATCAGTAACTATGGCTCACTACATGGGCATAGCCTCCTGAAAGAATTTACCAGAACTTTCTTGGGAATGGGGTAGGGTAGTACTGAATTGAAAAAAATCCCAAGGTGATTCTGATTCCTCTTCTCCTTCCTTCTCCACCCTCTGAACCCCACTTCAAGGATCCCTACTATATATCATGATCTCTCAAAGTACAAAAGATAGATTTCTCCACTGAAAAAAAGTAATTCTTGAACCTTAAAATATACTGAACATAATAAATCTGTGTACCTTCCTTCAAGTAGGCTCTATCTCCAAAAAGTTAAGTTTGTATAGTAGAAAACAAAAAATTCCCAGGTCTGCAAGCAAAAATTAAGACCAAAACCACTGTCAGGAACAGTGGTTCATGTCTGTAATCCCAGCATTTTGGGAGGCCAAGGCAGGCAAATTGCTTGAGCCCAGAAGTTTGAGAACAGCCTGGGCAACATGGCAAAACCCCATCTCTTCAAAAAAAAAAAATACAAAAATTAGCCAGACATGTTGGTAAACACCTGTGGTCCCAGCTACCCAGGAGGCTGAGGTGGAAGAACATGAGCCCAGGGAAATAGAGGCTGCAATGAGCCTTAATCATGCCATTGTACTCCAGCTTGGGTGACAGAGTGAGACTGTCTAAAAAAAAAGAAACTATACTTCTATACCCAGGTCCAGGTCCATCATAAACTATATAAGGGAGGTTACTTAAATTAGGATAATTTCTAAACAAAAGGTATAAGTGTTTCAAGTGGGGGGGGGGAATAAATAGTGCCTAAATTTATTATAAGTTTAGGCTGTTCCCAAACATTTTTAAAAATCTGACTGAATTTATACCTACTTATTTTCTTAAACAACATACCTATCCAGAAGAATTCTCTTCTAACTCTTTCTTGAAAGAAAATACTATTAAATCTACTCCTTAAAAGTAGAAAAATAAATCACTCCATTCACAAGGGCCAAGGAAATCAAAGACCAAAACAGCAGACCCTAAAAATGCATATTGTAATTATTAAGCATTACAGCCAAGAGGAATTTTAGTTTTAACATCAAAAATAAGAGACTCCTCAGAGTGAACATTACATGAGATTTTTATTTTTTGGCTTCTTTTTTTTATACTAAGAATGTTATGCATAATTTTTAAAAGTTTAAGAACTGAAAGACATTTTCCACATGTGCAAATAAACATACTTCTAACTAGGCACTATATATTTAATTTTCTCATTAGGAAAAAATAAGAGGGATTCCATTAGCTTAAGCTATGATAGATAGTATGTAAATTAATGAGTGAAGCTGTATTCCAATAATACTTTACAAACACAGGTGGCTTTCAAGCAATAGTTTGCCATACCCCTGCTGTATAAACAGCCCAATTTTTAAACCAATATTAGATTATGTAAGATTATACATATATAAAAAATTAACTATCTACATATAATTATTCCACTGTATCAAGTCTTTTCTACCTGCAGTGAAATGTGCCGAAAGAAGCAGGGTTCCAAAGCGCTGAAAGGACAGGGAAGAAAGCCAATGTGTTAATCAAATCCTTAAACAATCACTTCATTTAGATCATCCATTCAACAAGTATTTGCTCAAGACACACGAACCCCTGGCTTCGGGATCTAATATGAAAGACAACACAGTTACAAACACGACTAATTAGGCTGACTAAGTGCCACATGATGGTAGAAATAACCACTAACATTTGCAAAAGGCTTCAAAGTTTAACATATTTCCACAGAAATTAAAAAAGCTTCAAAATAACCCTGTGTAGTACATAAAGTACTTGGTATTATTCTCATTTTACACAAAACTCATAAGCAGAAGAGCTAGGATTTGAACCTCCAATACTACTACTCCATACCTCCACAGTGCAGCTTTCTCCTAGAGGCTGACAGACGTACAGGCATTTGAATAGAACTTCCAAGAATGGGCAGTATTTTGATAGAAGAGACCCTGGCATTCCGAGAAAAAGCATATACAGAAGTCCAGAAGCAAGGGAATACAATGTGCGTAAAGGTAATGCTAGGCTGGTTCACATAAGGCAGATGGGAAATAAGGCTATAAAGATGGGTTGAAAGCCAGAAGAGAGCTTTAAGGTCTGGCAAAGAATCCATGACCCTATGGGCAATGAGAAATCAAATGTTTTGGAAGAGAGAAGGAAGAAACAAAGTAAATGAAGCTCTTATGGTATATTTAGTACTTTGCAAAACAGTCGTTTCATATCCAGGGATATTGGGTACTGCCACAGGGAGATCAGACTGTTAGAGGACCTCAGCAAGACTCTGAGAGGTCTAAAAGAAGAGAAAGGAGCTGAAGGCCGTCTCCATAGTTTCAGGATGAGGGCTCAGAGAATTCAAAGAAAGTCCTGTCTTGTCTCACATGATGATTGTTACAGGTCCCCTACACTACCCTACCCTCCTAAGTTAAACCAATGTCCAAAATTACCCTAGATTTTCCTACATTTAATCTAAAACTCACCGAATCTTCAGGGGGTCTCTGGATTTTTCCCCAATCCACAGAAGGCCCCTTTTCTTGCAAAAATCTATGAAATAGCTTCCGAAATCCATCCAGGTCTTTTTTAGTGTGCTGTGAAAATAGAAGTCATTGTTACAACCAGCAGAATGCTAAATATTTAATAAAAACATAAAGGCAGATACAAGTTACACATTTAAAATATCTTTGAATGAAATTCTTATACCATTAGGACATGGAGGGAGCAGAGATTTTTTCACATCCTAAAAGCTAATAGAGGCTGGGCATGGTTGGTGCACACCTGTAATCCCAGAACTTTGGGAGGCTCAGACCGGCTGATCACTTGAGCTCAGGAGTTTGAGACCAGCCTGGGCAATATTGCAAAACCTGGTGTCTACAAAAAAAAAAAATACAAAAATCAGCCAGATGTGGTGGTGTGTGCCTGTAGTCACACCTACTCGGGGGCTGAGATGGGAGAATCACTTGAGCCCAGAAGTTGAGGCTGCAGTGAGCGGACATTGCACCACTGCACACCAGCCTGGGTGACAGAGTGAGACCCTGTTTCAAAAAAAAAACAAAAACAAACAAACACCATTTGTTTAATGGGAATTCCAACTGGCTCTGTATTTTTTTTTTTTTTTTTTTGAGACACATTCTTGCTCTGTTGTCCAGACTAGAGTGTAGTGGCGCAATCTTGGCTCACTGCAACCTTCGCCTCCCAGGCTTAAACCACCCTCCTACATCAGCCTCCCCAGTAGCTGGGACCACAGGCGCACACCATCATGCCTGGCTACTTTTTGTATTTTTTGGTAGAGACAGGGTTTCACCATGTTGTCCAGGCCAGTCTCAAACTCCTGAGCTCAAGCAATCCTCCTGCCTTGGTCTCCCAAAGTGCTGGGATTACAGGTAAGAACCACTGCGCCTGGCCACTACACTTACTTACCAATATCTTCTCTACTTCTAAATGAAAATTAATCTTCACTAAAAGAACAAAGAGAAATAGGGCCGGGCGCGGTGGCTCAAGCCTGTAATCCCAGCACTTTGGGAGGCCGAGACGGGTGGATCACGAGGTCAGGAGATCGAGACCATCCTGGCTAACACGGTGAAACCCCGTCTCTACTAAAAAAATACAAAAAACTAGCCAGGCGAGGTGGCGGGCGCCTGTAGTCCCAGCTACTCAGGAGGCTGAGACAGGAGAATGGCGTAAACCCGGGAGGCGGAGCTTGCAGTGAGCTAAGATCCGGCCACTGCATTCCAGCCTGGGCGACAGAGCAAGACTCTGTCTCAAAAAAAGAAAACAAAACAAAACAAAAAAAAAAGAACAAAGAGAAATAAAACACAGCTAGCTTCAAAACATTAAGTATGAATTGAAATATAAAAATGAAAATTCTAACACACTGATTTATAAGTAAAAAAGTGAATGCCTCCCAGTTCTGGGAAACTTCTATTACAATTGTTAAAGTAGCATGGTTCTATCAGAATTGACTCTTTGGAAACGGCATGCAGGACATATGAAGCTAACCTCTCTCAATTCCAACTGAACACAGGTATGCATTCCTCCACCCAATGACATCAAAACACAGAACAAAGTATAATTTGGTTCTGATTATTTTAATGACTTTGAAAACTTCCTAGGCTTAAATGAAAAAAAGATGATGGATTTACAAAGGGCAAATGTTAAAAGCCCTTAATTGTCAAGCAATTCTATTTTTTTTGTTGTTGTTTTTGATGTTATCATACATCTTGTGCTGATTTGAGGTTGGATGATGATGATCATCACTGGCAGTAACTCAGTATGAAGACAGATGAAGCAGGGGGGGAAAAAAAAAAAACCACTGTGGAGACCTCCTTACCTCAAACTCATGTGACGATGCTGTGGTGAGTATTTTTTCTAGTTCCTTCTTCACAGATAATTCTAGCTCTTGCCGAATGACTTCTTGGAACTGAGAAGCGCCATCTTGAGACATTGCTTTGCTAAGATCTTAAAACAAAAATATAAAACCATCAACTGAAAACTCCAGGAAGCCACTCAAACAGCTGGTAAGCTATAACTGATCTATTTCTGGTATTCAGCAAATGAAGAGGGCTCAGTCTCATGGTCCCCTTATCCTGTGGCAGTAATTCAGTGGTGTCAACTAGTTAGGACTTGTTTCACTCCAGTTTCATATTCTCCACTAAACAAGAACCCCTTGAAAGGTATTGGCAATTCCAAGGTGCCTCTACTTTCCTGTATCAACGTTTTCATTTTAAAAGGAAAAGGGCATAGGGCTGCCTGCCATCTTCTGGTTCCCAATTTCAGCCAAGACTTTGCACTGCTTACGTGTGTCAGACTAGACTTTTAATGCTTTTGGCACAGCTGGGCACTTCTGTAACAGATGGATCTCACTAAAGGTGACAGAAATCCCTCTTAAATAAATACAAACAACAAAAATAGAAAACTACAGAAAAAGGCTGGGCAACGGCGGCTCAGGCCTGTAATCCCAACACTGCGGGAGGCCGAGGCGGGTAGACCCTGGAGCCCAGGAGTTTGAGACCAGGCTGGGCAACATGGCAAAACCTCATCTCTACAAAAAATACAAAAATTAGCCAGGTGTGGTGGCACTTGTCTGTATTCCCAGCTACTTGGAAGGCTGAAGCAGGAGGATACCTTGAGCCGAGGAGGCAGAGGCTGCAGTGAGGCAAGATCGCGCCACGGCACTCCAGCCTGGGTGACAGAGCCAGATCCTGTCTCAAAAAGAAAAGGAAAAAAACAAAAAACAAAAACAAAAACAAAACACAAAAAGAAACACCCCAGACCCAAACGCTTTGGGAGAAAAATACCAACACAGGCGGCTGTTTTACACTTTATCTAGAAAGTAATCATCTTATTTACTTCTCATAAGATAGGGACAACTGGATTATTGTCCACCCCTCCCCTTCTATCCTCAGTACTTGATTCAATCTTATTTTTAAAATGTATTTGTAAAGTTTATATTTAAATATTTTGTTTGATAACTAGTTATTTTTACAAATGTTTGTTAATTTAGCAGAATCACATTTCATTAAGGCTAAAAACTCCTCTTATATACTCCACCTACTATAAATTCTTTCACTTATTATTTGAATAGGAGAAGACATTTATACAGATAAAATTAAAGCCAACGTATTTTAAAGATAATTTTGAGAACAGAAAATAGTAAACTATGTAACTCTTGGGGTAATTTATTTAATATAAATAGCCTCTACCTCCTGCAAATAACTAAAAGTGTTAACAAATGAAGTATTTAACATAGCTCTTCAAAAATCTTTTCATATATATGTTCCATCACATCTAAATCCAAGAGAAAAAAATCCAAGGAAATTTGCTGAAATTGAACTCTAAAATACCCAATTTCCAACCATGGTCTTTTTACAGTTATAAACCCTAACACAACTAAGTTAATATTCTCCAGTAATACTATCAAAGTGGACAGGGATTGGGTGGTCTGCACCTGTAATCCCAGCACTTTGGGAGGCTGAGGGGGGAAGATGGCTTGAGGCCAGGAGTTCAAGACCAACCTGGGCAATACAGCAAGACCCAGTCTCAATGAAAAATACAAAAATTAGCAGAGCATAGTGGCACACACCTGTAGTCCTAGCAACTAGGGAGACTGAGGTGGCAGGATCATTTGAGCCCAGGAATTCCAGGCTGCAGTGAACTACGATCACGCCACTGTACTCTATCTAGCCTGGGAACCAAAGAGACCCTCTGTGAGCCAAGAAGCACCATACACCATGTGTGTTCCATAAACTACCTAAAGGTAAATTGTGGCTAGTAAGTAGCAATCTGATTATAATCTGTAAAACCCATGACAATGGATGAGCACATTTGCCTAAACTATGAGAGGTAATTAAAAGTTACTGCAGAACAGTTCAAACTAGAGTTAACATTACATCATCCATATATGTTCATCCCTTGACAGATTTAGCTGTAATTTAAAATTTGTCCCTGGTTAAGTATCCTACCCCAACACCGCATGTGTACCTGGGATGCCTCTTTCCCTAATCTTTAAGCCAATTCTCATTCAATGTTTGGGAAATAATTTGAAATAAAAATCTACTAAATATAGAGGAAGAAAAACCTCTATATTAAAGAACATATGAATTGATTCTTTATTTTTTATTTTATTTTTTTTGAGATAAGGTCTTGCTCTGTCACCCAGGTCGGAGTGCAGTGGCATGATCAAGGCTCACTGCAACCTCCACCTCCCAGGCTCAAGCCCACCTCAGCCTCCCAAGGAACTGGGACTACAGTCATGGCTAACTTTTGGTTTTGTTTTGGTTTGGTTTTTTGCAGAGACAGGGTTTCCCCATGTTGTCCAGGCTGGTCTCGAACTCCTAGGCTCAAACAACCTGCCCACCTCAGCTTCCCAAAGTGCTGGGATTACAGGCATGAGCCACCATGCCTGATTTGATAGTCTGATTCTGATCAATTAAAATACATCAAGAAGTAACTATATAATAATTTTTAAAAATAAGTTATTTTGTTAGACTCAAACACATCTATAGACTTGTTACTTTGTTGCTGAAGTTAGATCCTGAAACCCAGCATTCACAGGCACATTCCTAAAAAATCATGACAGAAACATTTAAGTTACACACTGGAAAAATGCCAAAATGAGATAAAACTAAATGTAACTACAAAGTTTAGAAGTAACTAAAGTAGCTGTTTGAGATGTGTCTAAATGAGAACCATTTGAAAACAAAAACAAAACATTTTAGAAGCTCCCTCTGCAGAGCAGTAACTTATTAATTTACATGATTTAAGGCCAAAACACACAGAACCCAAGTCAATATCCTATCAAGCCAAGCTAAAAAAGGCTGGCTGAAAGACTCACATTTAATATTGCATGTGCTCTCTGTCAACACAGGTCTAAGTTTCAGAGGCAGATTTGAAAAAAATCCCAGACACAGGTTCAAACTTGAGAAATGTCTCTAACCTTTGTTTCTTCCTTTTGTTTGATACAGCACCAATGCACACGAAGAATAATTTGTTTTCTTCCACCCTCTTTACACATACAATCGGCTTAAACAAAAGAACATTACAACAAGCCTGTCACCTCTTCTACCCCTCTAAAAGCTCTGTTTTTAGTGATTAAAGAATCAGGAAGGGCTTGTAATGAATAAAAAATATTCAAGAATAAAGAACAAGGAAGAGTGCTTAGACAAGAAGAGTAGCTATCTTAAGCGTCTGGGCACAGACCAGAGGCACAGAGCAGGGAACTATTTCCCTTAGTGGTGACTTCCTCATCCATCCTGAATTTTTTAAGAAAGGTCTGAAATTTCTGGTAGGAAAAGTACTACAGATGTTAGAAGCTTTCTTGGATTTAACATTCTCAGGTTACACTTCTGACAAGGACAGTTGAGTTTTTAAAGGAAGGTCAACTAAAATCCTCTGAATAATGCAAGATTTCTAACCTCATAAAGTGTTTTGTCCCTATTTCCTAGCAATATAAAATTGATTTCCCCACGACTTCAGACAGAGTGGATTGGGAGTCAAACATTTCACTACCTTAGTCATAAACATTTTTATAGATGGGAGGGAGCATTTAACCTACTCTGATCATTTTACAGATGAGGAAACAGGTTGAACATAGTTAAATGACTTATTCAAGGTCACAAAGCAGGCCAACGTTGGAGCCCAGAAGCAAAGCCATGTTTTTTTAGCTGCATTCTACCACAGTGAGACAGAAATACCTTGCTAATGTTTTCTTCCTGGTCTGGCTCTCTTTAACCTTGACACAAAGGCCCTAAATACCACACTCTCCTCCAAAAACATTTATATCAGAACCTCTTCTTATGTTCAATCAACAGACAAGATAATTTCCCACCACATAAAACTGGACTTACTAGACACTTTAAGTCAATTTCGGATAGAACAGGCTATAACTTTTTTCACAAGTTCCTCCTTTCCCCCAATTTCCTAATTCTTCTTGTTCACAAGAACTAAAATTTCAACATCATGGGCTTTTTTATCCAGCTGGAGCCAAAAAAGAGAGAGGGATACAGTCAATCTGACAAGTGAATGTTTTTGTTTCTTAATTCATGGATCTCATTTCATATATTTCAGCAAGTAAGAGGTATACAAAATACCCTTCCCTGACACCCCGACACTGGCGCAAACAAAATAAGTACACAAGCTAGTTTCACAATGCACAGGCCATGGAAAAACCACAGGGAAGGCACTAAGAGCACCAAAGAAGTTGAAGAGCCATCCCCAGGCCACCTCCGTCTGATCAGTCCCAATCTTCCTGGAAAACCCACAATGAGAGATACTCAAAGTCAGAAAATTGGAGAGCCCGCTTAATCTTAAATCAGGAAATGACGTGTGATCCAAATAACCATAAAACCCCAAGAATTTAATGGCAACTGGAAATAATCAAGATAAAGCTATCTTGATTATTTCAAGATATAATCAAAAAATAATCAAGATAAAGCTGTCTCTCATCCTAAACTTTTTTCCTGAGCTCCAGGATCACATTCTTTACTGCCTTAAAGACTTCTGACACCTGGATACCCAGCTAGGTACCTCAAACTCAACATGTCCAAAACATGACTGATCATCCAAACTAAATTACTCTTTTTGCCCTCTCTGTTCCCCAAGGCATTAACATTTTCATAGAAACTAAGGTTTAAACCTCATAGTCACAGTTGGCTCTCCCCACCTTTCCCCTCGCATTGCACAATCCAATATCAAAACTTCTTAAATGATTGCCATAATTCCATTCACTGTTTTCCATTTCCATGACTGCTACCTTAACTCCCCTAGCATTTTTACTCTCCTAGTCATGACAACTGCTTTCTAACTAGTCTGCCCATCACTCTAATCTAATGGTGCCAAGGAGAATGGATGGATCTCCTTAAGCCGCAACCCCCATCATATCACTTCTCTTCCTTGTTTGATGAAATTCTCATTGCCTACAGAAATAAATACAAATTCCTTATCCAGGCATGTCTCAAAAG